AGTCGGCGCGTCTCACCTGCGGCGCTTCCCCATCCCCCCCCGGGAGCGCCCTCCGTGCGAGGTCACGGGCCCCAGAGGGGCACCCCCACGGTGTGCCCCCCCTGCACCCGGGGATAAGCAGCTATTTCTAATACGCCTCACTCTCGGGCGGTTGCTCATCCGCAGCTCCCACCCGTGCACCGAGTTTCCCCGGCCTCTGCCCCCCACTCGAGAGGACACTTCAGGGTCACCCTGTGGGGCGTGGGGTCCCGCAGGGCCTCCCCACCTCACGTCTCACCTTTCCAGGGATGAACGCTGCCGTCCGCGCCGTCACCCGCATGGGGATATACGTGGGAGCCAAGGTCTTCCTCATCTATGAGGTTCGGTGTACCCCACTCCGCTCCCTGTCATGGGTGGGGGGAAACCGCTCCCCCCCCGTGCTGGGTCACCCCTCACCTCTGCTCCCCATTCTCTGCAGGGCTACGAGGGGCTGGTGGAGGGGGGAGACAACATCAAGCAAGCCAACTGGCTCAGCGTCTCCAACATCATCCAGCTGGTGAGGATCACCAGTGGGGCCAAGGGACCCCCAAATCCCAGTCCCCCAAACCTGTGTGACGAGCTGTGTGTCATGTGTGGTTCCCCCCGCCCCCCCACATTTTTTTACTCTCCAGGGTGGGACAGTTATCGGCAGCGCCCGCTGCAAAGCCTTCACCACCCGTGCGGGCCGGCTGCGGGCTGCCCGTAACCTGGTGGAGCACGGCATCACCAACCTGTGCGTCATTGGTGGGGACGGCAGCCTGACGGGCGCCGACATCTTCCGCTCCGAGTGGGGCGAACTGCTGGAGGAGCTGGTTCAAGATGGTGGGTGAACCCCCCTCCCAAAAAGCCCCTGGGTGGGTTGAGTGATTCAAGGGGTGTTGACCCCCCTGCATCCACCCTGCTAGGACCCCCACAGGGAGGGCTGAGCTCCTCCGCCACTCTGCAGCATCCAGCCTGTTGCTGGGGAGAGAATGGGGGCACCCTAAAATAACCGTGTGTCCCATCCTCCCCCCCCACCCCCCCAAAACAGGGCAGATCAGCAAGGAGTTGGCACAGGAGAACAGCCGCCTCAACATTGTGGGGCTGGTGGGCTCCATCGACAATGATTTCTGTGGCACTGACATGACCATCGGCACTGACTCGGCACTGCACCGCATCATGGAGGTGATCGACGCCATCACCACCACAGCACAGAGGTGAGCGGGCTGCGGGCTGGGGGCTTGACTGCCGCTCCGGGCCTATGCACCCACCTTCCTTCTCCTCCCACCTGTGTCCTTGCAGCCACCAGCGGACCTTCGTGCTGGAGGTGATGGGCCGCCACTGTGGGTAAGCCCCTGCGGGCAAAGAAGCCCATCAGTGGGACGGGAAGCCACATTTCGGGGCCAGTGCTGCCACCACCATGTCCCCCCTTCCCAGGTACCTGGCGCTGGTGTCCGGCCTGGCCTCGGGTGCTGACTGGCTCTTCATCCCTGAATCCCCTCCGGAGGACGGCTGGGAGGACCTCATGTGCGAGAGGCTCGGGGAGGTGAGGGGGGCTTCCTACAGTCCTGTCCCCCTTTTCTCCCTGGAAGGTCCCCACAGGGACCCAGGCTGAGCCCCACAGCCGGTGCCCAGCCCCTGCGAAGCTTCGGGAGCTCCCACCATTGTCCCTGTGAAACGGGGCACTCAGCCGAGTGCAAATCCAGCCCTCGCGTGCCAGGGGCAGCGCTGGCTCGGGGGCTCGGCCATCCAGAACTTGAGCCACCCCTCACCCACCTCTCCGGGCTACGGCCAGTGGGGGCAAAGGATGCTCAGATGCGGCTGCTGGTGAGTTTTGGCTGAGCTACGGCAGCTGTTTTCTTCCCCTCGCACCTAGACGCGCAGCAGAGGGTCGCGCCTCAACATCATCATCATCGCCGAGGGCGCCATCGACCGCAGCGGCAAACCCATCTCTTCCAACTACGTGAAGGACGTAAGCGCCCGCTCCGGCGCCCGCTCCGGCACCCGCAGTGGGCAGCGGGTCCCTGGCGTGACGTCTGCTCTGCTCCGCAGCTGGTGGTGCAACGCTTGGGCTTCGACACGCGGGTCACCGTCCTCGGCCACGTGCAGCGCGGAGGGACCCCTTCAGCCTTTGATCGTGTGCTGGTAGGTCTGGGGGGGGCGGGAGGCAGGACACAGAAAGGGGGGGTCACCCTGCAGAAAGGAGCAGGCAGCTGGGGCACCCCGTTCCTGCCTTCCCTCTGCCTGTTGCAAAGGACTTGTTGGCTGAGAGGAGGCTCACATGGTCCTTGTGGGCTTGGCCCCACTGTGCCAGGCAGAGCAGTGCACCAGTTTACCCTCATGTGCTGCAAATGTCACGGTTTTTAAATAAAACCAGCAGCTCTCTAGCTGTAAATCAGGTGTGCAAGCAGTTGCAAGGTTTCCAAGCCGGTGGGAGAGTTGCTGTGCGAGCCCAGGGGAGCATCCCGCCCGGTTGGCATGGGTGGCCCAGGTGTCACAGGGTGTCCCTTTCCCTCCACAGAGCAGCAAGATGGGGATGGAGGCGGTGATGGCACTGCTGGAGGCCACGCCAGACACCCCCGCCTGCGTGGTGAGCCTCTCGGGGAACCAGTCGGTGCGGCTGCCACTCATGGAGTGCGTCCAGGTGGTGAGTACCAGGGCAGGGATTGGGCACACCAAGCACCCTGGGTGGGGGTCCTGCTCCCCTCCCCACAGGCGTGGGGGTCACAGTGCTGCATCTCTCCCCCTGCCAAGACGAAGGATGTGCAGAAGGCCATGGATGAGAAGAGATTTGAGGAGGCCATCCAGCTCCGTGGGAGGTGAGGAGCAGCGGCCGGGATAGGGGAGGTATCCCTGTGGGGTGGCCAAAAGGAGGTGCTGGGATGGAGGCTTCTCCCTGGGGGAAAACCAGCAGCTCCTGCAGCCAGGGAGGGTCATTCCCACCCTCCCCAGGGTCCAGGCACACCTCAGGGCCACCCTGCCTGTCCTTGCAGGAGCTTTGAGAACAACTGGAACATCTACAAGCTTCTGGCGCACCAGAAGCCAGCACAGGAGAAGGTGAGGAGGGATGAAGAGCGGCAGGGGACACCATCCCTGCCTTGGGGACACGCATCCATGTGCTGTCCCCATCCCTGTCCCCACAGAGCCCCTTCAGCCTGGCCATCCTGAACGTGGGTGCCCCTGCTGCGGGCATGAACGCTGCTGTCAGATCAGCCGTACGGATCAGCATTTGCCAGGGACACACCATCTACGCGGTGAGCGACGGCTTCGAGGGCTTGGCCAAGGGGCAGGTAAGGGGAACAGCGAGCCTGGGTTTCCCAGGGGGATGAGTTTAGGCTTGGAGTGGGGTGGTGGGGTGCTTCCTCACCCCAAAACCGAGTGCTGCTGCTTGCAGATCCGTGAGGTGGGCTGGCACGACGTGGCGGGCTGGCTGGGACGTGGCGGGTCCATGCTGGGCACCAAACGGTAAGCAGAGCCCCGGGGGGGCCTGGGGGACGTAATGGAAGGGACACTACTGTCCCCGGTGACTGCAGGGACATCCTGTCCTCACCCCGTGGTCTCCTCTCCCCTTCCCCACCACAGGACACTGCCCAAGACCTGCATGGAAAAGATTGTGGAGAATGTGCGGAAATTCAACATCCAGGGGCTGCTGGTCATTGGGGGTTTTGAGGTGCGGGGGAACCCTCAGCCCTGTTTCGGTGGGGGCCAGGCCAGGCTGTCGGCCCCCCAGGCCATCCCTTTTGGGGTGTGGATCCAGCCCCCGGGGCCAGCATCTCCCCAGCTCTCGGCTGCTTGCAGGCGTACGAGGGGGTGCTGCAGTTGGTGGAGGCCCGTGGGCAGTACGAGGAGCTCTGCATCATCATGTGCGTCATCCCCGCCACCATCAGCAACAACGTCCCCGGAACCGACTTCAGCCTGGG